ACCTGGCTGCATCTATTGAAAACTATCCATACTTCATGACTCTTGTTAGCTCACCTGAGCCGAAGGCTCAAGTGAGGTTTTCTGATCACATTTTGTCCGGCTTCCGTTTGTCTGTGCGTCTGTCTAGCTGTCCGTCTGTCTGTAAACTTAATTTTCACATTTTCAACTTCTTTTCAAGAACCGCTGGGCCAATTTCAACCAAGCTTGCCACAAAGCATCCTTGGGTGAAGGGGATTCAAGTTTGTTCCAATAAAGGGCCACACCCTCATTCAAGGGGAGATAATTGAGAATTAGTGAAAATTTGGTGGTATGTTTTAAAAATCTTCTTCTCAAGACCCACTGTGCCAGGAAAGATGAAACTTATGGGGAAACATCCTCAGGTAGTGTAGATTTAAGTTTGTTCAAATCATGACCCCCGGGGTTAGGGTGGGGCCACAATGGCCGACCAAAGTTTTATATAGAAATATATAGGAAAATTCTTTAAAAATCTTCCTTTCAAGAACAGCACGGCCATAATTGCTCATCTTTATATGGAAGCATCACCAGGTAGTGTAGATTGAAGTTTGTTCAAATCATGACCCTTGGGGACAGGGCGGGGCCACAATGGCCAACCAAAGTTTTATATAGAAATATATAGGAAAACTCTTTAAAAATCTTCTTCTCAAGAACAGCAAGGCCATAATTGCTCATATTTATATGGAAGCATCCCCAGGTAGAGTAGATTCAAGTGTGTTCAAATCATGACCCCCGGGGCTAGGGCGGGGCCACAATGGCCGACCAAAGTTTTATGTAGAAATATATAGGAAAATTCTTTAAAAATCTTCTTCTTAAGAACAGCAAAGTCATAATTGCTCATATTTATATGGAAGCATCCCCAGGTTGTGTAGATTCAAGTTTGTTCAAATCATGACCCCCGGGTGTAGGGCGGGGCCAAACTTTTGGATTTAAACTTTTCAATAGTAAACCAATTTCTACTTTTTCCTAGCCACAATGCTCGGGTGAGCAATGTGGCCCATGGGCCTCTGGTTTTTATAACTTTCATCACTTATTTAGCTTATTATGTCAAATTCTGAAGAAATGAATGCATATGTAACTAATATTTTTTTGATCTTTGTAGGACTTTATTTTGGAGCATTACAGTGAAGATGGAACTCAGTATGAAAAAGAAATCCAGGAGTTATGTGACCTCAGACAGGTAGGTGTGATAAGCATGTATATTTGGTTAAATTAAACTAGGTTTGATGTATTCACTATTCAATATATCCACTTATAAGTAAATCTGTCAAAGATAAAATTTCCTCTGATGCAAGTTTATACATGTATGAAGACTTATCCAAAAATTTTACAATTAAAGGGGGAGGAAATAAGCACCTCCTTCAAATTTACCTGGTCTTGGAACCTCTGTCAATCATCTGAAATTAAGCCTGGGATTGGATACTTTGAATTGATTGACATTTAGTTGGCTGCTGTTGTGTATATCTTGTGTACCTTGTCTGGAGATCGTACCGGCCATCGAATTAACTTTCAGGCTTTTGATGCCTACCGCTTATGCCAACGTAATGAAGAAGCAATCAAATCGTTCTTTTCTTTTTTTAATTCATAAGAATATGCCATAAATATAATCAATCTATCAAATAATTAAATAAATGACAAGAAAATCATGGCTATTATAAATTTAATTTTAAACGGGAGGATTTCATATCATGATTACAATTGATTATTTTAATTTCCGTGTAAAAAAAATGAGTTAGCATACATTTATTCCTCCATTAATTAACAAAATAAAGCGACCTACGTTTGAAGCTAGTATCATGGAATTAAATAATATTATTTTTTAAAACAATTATGACAACATTGTAACATTGTTCTTGAGTCAAGCGAATTTATATTTATAAGACAAACCTGTACGTGTCACTTTTATTCGAGACATGGTGACGAAGTTACGGTATAATGATAAGTTTTAGAAGAGAAATTACTCGGAATATAATATCTTGCTTTGTATTTAATGTTTGAAATTAATAATGAGTCTCAAAAGAAAAAAACGATGCAAATGATTCTTTTCCCATTTCATAGCTGTCGGGGAATCAACCCCGGTCCGAAGTCCTGGCCATTTTTACAGACCATGCGTTATGGAAAAATCAAGTAGGGTTTATCTTAGAAAGATATTTATTTAGACAGTAATATTTCTATTTCAACATTTTATTCTCAAAACATCGTTTTTAAGTTTCATTGTTATTTACCGAGAGACTGTTTTATGATTCACTTTCTTCTTTCGTTTTGCGTAGATGACGTGTAATTTGAATTACTTCCTTTTTTGTCGCCAGATTACAATGTCAGATTTTTGTGCTAAATGTAATTTCGTTATAACACTTCATTTAGAAACACACTGTATATAAAAAATGTCGATTTATTAAAAATATCAATTATTTTAAAAGAAAGAAATTGAGAAGGATTCTGTCTGCTACAAAAAATGCTTTATTTCGCATTTCAATTCATGAGCTAAACATAAAAAAAACGGCCTCGGTTTACAAAGTCGTAGGAAAACGCATACAGGTAATACACTCAAGGGCTCAGGTAACATCCTGTGTATATAGGTAGTATACACAAGCTGGCGTCGTTCCCTCGGGGCTTCTCAGTCGCTTCGATTAAGCTCCACCCCACACTAAACTTACCTGAGGAAAACCGTACGGTTGAAAACCTCGGCCTTTAAGTTCAAATGAGCTTTAAGTGTTTTAGCATTTTGTGCTCAAAATATGAAAATTGTGTAATTGTACATGTAATGGTTATTGAATGGAGAAGGGATTATATGGTATGACATTGTTCTTACGATTTTTCAGGACATGCGGACTCCCCAGAGAAACGAGTCGGGAGTTGAGTTGTTAATTGAGTACTTTAATCAGTTACACTTCATTGAGCGGAGATTTTTCCCACCTGACCGAGTTCTTGGTGCTCACTTCCACTGGTATGTCATTTTGTCCCCCCCTCCCCCCCACCAAAAAAAAATTAAAATGTGTAGGAAAAAAAAAGTCTTAAAAGAAGCAAGATAACCTGTGATCATTATATTACAGTAACTTTAAATTACTTCTTATTTGCTTATTTAAAGAAAATCTGCAAATTACTATCTCTTGAAAACAGATATGGTGAATTTGGTGATCTACAGTACTGGTATTGTCAAGAGATTAATATAATCTTATAATATTTTTTTTTGTTTACAGGTATGACTCTCTAACAGGTGTACCCAACACACAAAAGACAATGGGCTTTGAGAAAGGCAGTGTTTTATTCAATATTGGTGCTTTATACACACAGATAGGCTGTAAACAGGTAAAATATACAAATACCGCAAAGCTCGTTTAATACGAACACCGACATTGCGAATTTACGGATATAGCGAAGTTATCTTGGATCCCCAGCTTTATAAATTTAACTAATTCCTTATACGGATATAACGAATTACGGATATAACGAAGTAATTTCATAGGTCCCAGTGACTTCGTTATAACGGAGTTTTATTGTATATATATAGGTACATAGGTTTAATTGCAACATGTTCAACATACCATATAAGTGGAAACTTTAGCAAGAAGCAAATTGAGTGATTTCTCCTGAAATAATGGTATTTCATTATTAGCGAGAAGTAATTTTAGTGGTATTAAAATGCTCACTAATGGAGCTATTTCAATTAAAACGCAATTGATTTTTAGGGATATTAAATTTTAGCAAGTTCAGCACCTTCACTAATAATGCTAAAATTAAAACCTCACTAATGCCCTGTTCACACGACGAGTTTAATTCACAGTAAATTAATGCGAAGTAAACTAGTGTGAATCAAACTAATGCGAATTAAATTGCATTCACATGACAACTAATGTGAAGTAAACTGATGCGAATTAAAGATTTTACTTCCACAGTCAGGCGTCGATCAGTAAGGCTATTATGATGTCATTTGCAAATCACGTCACCTTATGCAGAAGCAGATGTATTTTTTGACATAATGTTACAGTGTCTGTACACAGACGTTAGTGATTAACACAATTTTCCTTAGTTTTTCACTCAAAATTATCACAAATACTTATAGCTGATCACCAGCATGTGGCATTTGACTTAATTTTGCCATTACGCATGCCTCGAAATTTAATTCGAATTAGCTACGCTTAGCGTTCACACGGAGTTATTGTGAAGTAATCTAATGTGCAGTAAACTAATTCGAATTAAACTAATTTGCATTAAATTCTCCATGTGAATGCTAAGCGAAGCTAATTCACAGTAATTTTACGTTTAATTCAAATTAAACTCTCCGTGTGAACAGGGCATACAAATTCTGCTTATGTGGTATCTCAAACATAAATGCTATTTAACCCATTGTATGTGTAACTGCTTATTAGCTCTTCTGAGCCAAAGGCTCAAAGAGCTAATGCTATGGCCATTTGTGCGGTGTGCGTCGTGCGGTGTGCGTTAACTTTTTAGAATATGGGCCATAACTCAAGAACCCCTTGGCCAATCAGTGTCAAATTTGTCACAGGGTATCCTTGGCCCAAGGGCTACCATTTATACTAAAATAAGGGTTGGAACCCTAAAACAAGGGGAGATAATCAGGAAAACAAAACCAAAAGCACTGGTTGCAAAAAAATCTTCTTCTCCAGAACCACCAGGCAGATTTTCACCAAACTTACATACAATGATCAGGATATGTTGAAGATTAAAAATTGTACAAGGCATGACCCTGGGGCAAAGGGCGTGGTCTCAAGGTCACTTCAAAGTTGACCTAAATTTACAATTAATGAAAATGTCTATATTTTGCTTACTATAAGGACTAGGATCATCAAATCTTGTAAGTAGATGCATCTTAGGACTTCACATCATGTTAACTCAAAAGTAGGTCACGGTGACCTACTTTTTTAATTTTGCGGGCATTTGTTTTTAAATTGATTTGAAGGCATATTTAGGACAATTTAAGGCCTATGATCATCAAACTTTGTCAGTTGATCCATCTTGGGTCCTTGAACAACGTCAACTTAAAAGTAGGTCACCGTGACCTACTTTTAGAACCTTATGACTTATCCTTTTAAAAACATTTCATCCCATTATTTCAGACACTGAGAGGGTTAGAATCATCAAATCTTGTAAGTTGCTGCATCTTGGGACCTTAACACATATTTAAGTAAAAGTAGGTCACTGTGACCTACTTTTAGAATTTTGCAGGCATTTGTTTTCAAATTGTTTAAAAGGCATATTTTGATTACCTTCAGACCAATGATCATCAAACTTGGTCAGCTGATGCATCTTGGGACTCTGAAAAATGTCGACCAAAATGCAGGTCACTGTGACCTACTTTCGACATTTTATGACTATATATTTCAGTATCTTAGGTATTTATTGGCTTAGAATCATCAAACTTTGTGAGTTGATGCATCTTGGGTTTTCGGAGAGTGACGACCAAAAATTAGGTCACGATGACCTACTTTCAATATTTTATGGCTATATTTATGTATCTCCAGTACTTATTGGCTTAGAATCATCAAACTTTGTCAGTTGATGCATCTTGGGTTTTTGGAGAATGTCGACCAAAAAGTAGGTCACGATGACCTTTTTTTGACATTTTATGGCTATATTTAAGTATCTTCGGTACTTATTGGCTTAGAATCATCAAACTTTGTTAGTTTATGCCTCTTGGGTTTTCAGAGAATGTCGACCAAAAAGTAGGTCACAGTGACATACTTTTGAATAGCTCAGGTATTTATTGGCTTAGAATCATCAAGCTTTGTCAGTTGATGCATCTTGGGTTTTCCAAGAATGTAGACCAAAAAGTAGGCCAAGGTGACCTACTTTTGAATATCTCAAATACATATTATCTTAGAATCTTCAATCTTAGTTTGTCTATTAATGCATCTTGAGTCCTCAGAAAACTTCAATCTTAAAGTAGGTCACCGTGACCTACTCATGTTTTTTTTTTTATAGCTTTATTAAAATATCTTCAGTCCTAATTGGCTAAGAATCATCAAACTTTTTATCAGTTGATGCAACTTAGGTTTTAGGATACTTAGGGTTAGAGGCTTCAAATACAAGTGATAGGTTGTACAATTTATCAGAAGAGCGATTCAAGGCCCTTGGGCCTCTTGTTTTAGACTATTTATTATGGTACCATATAACATAAATTTCAATAATGTAAGAATAGAGTATATTTTATGGGAAATATCTTTAGCATATCATGTATTTTATTCATATGAAGAAAAATTATAATGTTGCAATAAACTAGCATAAAATGACTGAATTACTGTATAATTTATTTCAGGATAGGACAACTCATGCAGGAGTACAGGATGCTATCAGTAATTTTCAGAAAGCTGCAGGGACCTTCCGTTATTTACACAATCACTTCACTAATGCTCCTAGTATGGACATGCAGCCCCATACACTGACAATGCTTATACAGCTCATGATGGTCAGTAACTCGGGTCAAATGTCACCAAAATATTTATAAAACAATCCATTATTGGTCAGCTGGTGTTGATATCATGAGTTACTGGTAACTCAAATAGAGAATTTGTCCCTTATTTGTATGTTTTGAATTACCAGTCTAAAACATTAAACATAATATGTTAAAGCAGTACAACAATTTTCATGCATCAAATATTTGATTACAAAGTTCAAGCTTGTGAAGCAAATTATTGGAATGATATTTATATGCTTGTTTCTATCTGTAATTTATTTTTATATTGACTGCACCATTTACCTGTATATACAGAGTCAGGCCCAGGAGTGCGTGTTTGAGTGTAAGGTGCTGGGTGGCAATAATGATGGACTCCTAGGAAATGTCAGATGTGCTCAAGAAGCTGTTGTGGTAAGTATCATCACTTATTCATCATATAACTCAGAAATTACCTGTACATACAGACACTGATTTGGTCAGTGCCATTCCTTGTACAGTGTACTTGTATATTTTGACACATGCTCTATCTACAGGTGTCCCAGATGTACGATGACACAAAGTTACTGATGACCGCTGAACCGGTCAAGGACTACATTCCGTACTCATGGGTCTCCATGGCGATGGTGAAATCCCAGTATTACATGGCCATGGCTCATACTCACATGGCAATGGCTATCATAGACTGCTCTGGTTTGTCAATTACTATCAATGAAACATTTATCTTGTAGTGCTTTTACTTTGCTTTTGAAAAATTGTACAAGTACAGTCGTACACGTATTTGTAATCTGTCGAGAGCACTGCTTATTAAAATTTTTGAACTTAGAACCAGAATGCAATATAAATGTCAACAATTATTAAACCATAAATGTATACTGTTAGGATAGAACAATGAAATTTTAAGAGATATTGCTGTTTTTGGAACATAAAAAAGTTATATCAATAGTCCAAATTATTTTTTCCAGAAGAAAATGACAGTCAATCTTTAACGGAATTCATGGAGGCTTTACAGAACACAAAGGAAGTTGACACAGAGAACAACAGACTGAGCATGCCTCAGACCGAAGAGGAGAGAATTACACTGGGTTAGTATTAAAATCAGCTCTGGTAGGTATCAAAATACTGGTCGGGGACAAAAACAAATATGAGTGATAGATATTTTTTTCACTGGTCACAGCTTCCATTTTTTAGGGATTACTTTTTATTCAGAAAAGGTGTTTTCTTTAAGAGATAACAAATTTGCTTTTAAATTTACCTTGTTAATAAAAAAAATTGTGTTTTACTACAGGGAAAGCTCACCTAAAAGGTGCACTCAACTGCCATGAAGAGGCTCTGAGATTACATGACCTTTGTAAACAACTGAGAAAAATTGATACCTTTCAGGACATTTTAAAGAAGGCTCATGACAGGTAAATTTGGGCACTTTCAACCTGAAAACTTGATTAAAATTAAATTTTAAAAACAAGAAAATTTTGAAAAAGTTCACTATATGCCAATGATTTTCATTATCCTTGTTTTATGGTTGTGTAACAGGTGCTTGGAGGAGTTTTCATCTTTAGAGGAGGAGGATGATTTCACAGAAGTTCTGATGTTTCCTAAAATTAACCCCAAAACATCTCAAAATGTCTCCCCCGTCTCTCCAGAGTTCAGAAATATCAGTGTAGTAGACATCTTCAAGAGACTGGTAAGAAGTGATTTATATTCACTTATCCTGATTTAAAATTTATAATTTCTATTTCTTTATGTAAATTGTGTTCGAGATACAGATATCCTCTGTACATTATAATCAAATCAATGAATTCATCAATACATTTAATTTTAGGGCCCTATAACAATATTCAATGCCAAAAATGAATGGTCTGCACCAAGAACAGTAACTCTGGATCGTAATCCAGATCAGGGATTTGGATTCAGTGTCCGTGGAGACGCTCCGGTTCGTGTGGCAGAAATAGAACCTGGCAGTGTTGCTGAGGTACTGTATATCCTATTATGTCTTCCTTCTCATTCAATATGCTGAATATTTGACAGATATTCATCTATAACTTTTCAGATTATTTATAACCTAGATATTTCATACCTTTTTTGAAAGACATGATAAAGAGCTACTTGGTTTACCTTAAATAAGCCTTTAATTTATATCACCTAAATATTTTAAAGAGTTGTATCAAAAATGTACACTGTACGTGGTTTAAATAGTCTCTGTTTATTGTTGTTTTTGATTAGGTGGGCAAACTGAAAGTTGGAGACTTAGTGGTAGCTGTAGGGGACACAGACACAAAGTGGGCAAAACATGAAGAAGTAGTGAATCTTGTCAGACAGTGTGGCAACCATTTAGTTCTCAGACTAGTCACCCCCAACACCCCCCAGGATCCGGACGCTAGTCACTCAGGCTCCTCCCCGGGGACCCCCCGCGCCCCCCTACGAATGCAGAGCCCCAGGGAGAGCCTATCAACTCAGAGCAATAAATCAAATCGTAGTCGGCTTAGTGCACCCTGGATATTCATGAGGAAAGGTTCAAAAGAAAAGCAGGATAAACCAGAAAAGAGCAAAGAAATGGAGGATGGCGAGGCTTTCCTTCACTGATTAGCATCTGTTATGTTTGATACGACTGGTTAGTGAAATCATCTGTTGTTTGATGTGATTGGTTAGTGTAATACTGTGATGTCATGTCCTTGTCAGAGGCTCCGCCCATTGACCTGACAGCAGCTAACACATCTATGAACACACTATGTAAAGGGAATGATGGGGAAAAATGAGATCACCCCATACCCCTCACGCAGACAAGAAATAATATAAAAATTGTGTGAATTTTTATGAAACAGATTTTTGTTTTTTTAACAAAGATGCATTTTAAATTGTATTTGTCACCTGTATGATTCAGGGTTTATGTGTCATAGTTTATCTGTCATTTTATTCAGTGTTAAGATGCCCTGTAGCAGAGAGCAGTATATTTATCCATATACAGTATACATGTAACTTTTTGTCTTAATAACTGCATCATAACTCAGTAGATATCATTTTACTGATCAGCAATAAGTGAATACCTTCACATATCAGTTCTATGTCCAGTTCTGTCCAAGCTATATAGGTTCTTCCTTCCAAGTGCTCAATTTGGCGGCATAATTTGCTGTCTCCTTTTATTATATACCAGTGCTAATGGAAATTGCCAAACTTCCATGAAGAATCAAAAGTTTCTTGCCTCAGGTTAGGTATATTTTACATCAGTATTCTTTTTCTCCTATTATTTTTCAAGAAAAAGATCGATTTTTGGCAGATATTCATGTATTTTTATGGCTTTTGAATTTAGGCATTGATATATTTTAACACAAAACAGTTGTATACATTATATTTTTACATATGACATTCATGTAGCATTATTATTGTCACATGTTGCTTTTAAAAGTCTTCTTTATTTAGTAGAATTGTTTTAGTGAAATGGAAAATTACAAACTTAAAATGAAAGCATTACACATGAAATAACAATCATACATGTACAAACATGTTCACAGTTTTATACTTACATTTCTAAATCCATGCAATGATGTATGTTTCTCTTAGCATGTAGAAAATCTCCATGTAATTAAACCATGTATGCATAATGTAACCTAAAATCAATATATTGTATAAGCAAAGGATTTTATTGGTGTGCTCAGTATATATTCATGATTGAAATCCACTACCCAATGTATAGATAGATAATCTTGTTAAAATTAATATATATTAATAATGGAAATATTCAAGTATTATATTTTTACATTAAGTATCTAGTTAGTCATAATTTCCATATCAATCATGTGTAATCTTTGTCAATGATTTTATGCAGTTCAGTTATATGGGATAGGATAATCAAAAATGTTCATAGCCAATTAATGTGTGCGAGGGAAATAAATGTACTTCGAGTTATAATCCAGATAAAAAAAATCCTGATTATTTATTATGTTCTTATTGATTATGCACTGTCCATACAACTTATATTGATTTTTTTTCTTTCGAAAAATGACACATTAAACTTGTCTTTTGGCTTAAATGTTTATAAACTAGAATAGAAAACACAGAGAGCTTGAACTAGATCATTCAATACTGTCTGTTTAAATGCATATTCAATCACTCACACTGGACAGTTTTGTAGATTGATGGATACCGAGGAAGCAATTTTTCATTTGCAAATAGACACATTTTATACATATTCAAACTTTTATATTCATTGTCAATAAATCACACTGCATTTTACATGGTGGAGGTGTTTTGAAATACTGCTTTAAAGCACTTATAATAATTATTGTTTATTAATGAATTGAAACACCTCTACACAAGTTTAGTGTGCCAAAATAACCATATTGTGATGTAGATATAGATAAGGTCTGAAGTATTAAGACTGTATTGTGATACCCATCTTACATACATGTATATTTGTATATTGTTAAAGTGTCCATATATATATTATATATATATTATATACGTATGTTTAGAGTTTCTATATATATACATGTACATAAATTATATAAGCTATTTGTTACTTACAAGTGTAAGTTGGTTATAGGATAGGAGTTGTATTCTTGGCTCATCATGTGTTTTAAACCATTTTTGTTGCAAATTTTGCAGTAGATAAAAGTTACTGTCTCTGCTATTTGATGCTTCACATATATCAAAAGGAAGCAATTTTTATGTAAAGATTTTCTAAGATTAAGAGCAAATGCAATCAACTTGTATGTCTGTATTGTTTTAATGATGGTGTTAAATTTATACATTTACATGCATGTATGTAGTAACATGTGAATTGTATACCCATACACTGTATGTTATGTGTGTATAATTGTCTATTAATGAGTGAGAGCTTTTATCAATACTCAATGTACAAGAGAAAGAAAATTCAGAAAATATTTTGACAAGCAATAAAATGTTATATATCAATTTGTATTGAGTCAACACTGTGGAAACATGTTTTTGATTGGTTGATTGGAGTAGACTGTGTCAGTCAGACAAGTTCAATCGCTGGTGGCTAGATAACTGAGTTAAGCACCTGACTGGAGATTCAGGGGCCGGGGTTCAAATAAGGGTCTGGTCAGATACATTTTCTCCTGTCCTGTTACAGAAATGGTAGGATTTAAAAAAAACAAAAAAAAAACCCGATATCATCAAAAACTATAAGGCACACTTCAACAGATGTTTAAGATCTAAGGTGAAAGCAGTCTCCTGTCAAATTAATGTTCAGGTAATGTGCATCCTTGCAAGCATCCCTGTAGATGCATCATCCATTTAAGTTTGATCTAAGTAGGCTTACTTTGGAATTGACCTGTCACAAAACCCTTAAAGCTGGTCCCAGGTCTAGAAATGAAGTCAAATGCCTACATGTGTGCCTGGGGATACAGCATTATATCCCAACTTTGTTCAGGTAAGGTCAAAAATAAATTTATATCCAATGATCAATTGTAAAGTTGAAGATGAGAAAAAGCCTTTTAAAGGTACTTGGACACAGATTTGAAGTTAATATTTTCTCATTTTTTCTGTATAATATCACGAATTATATATTTCAATAGCATTTCACACAAAAATTAAATAAAAATCTTATTTCATTTAAAAGTTATTAAAACGTTAAATTTTTTGGCGGGTTTGATTGACACATCCTTGCACTTTCACAAATTTTAACTTTATTCTTAATCCTTAGGAAAAGTGGCAATTTTGATGTGTTTTAATGAGAAATATTAAAACATTTATCAAGAAAAATAATTTTATTCAGAGTAGAAATATTAGAAAGCAAAACACCTTCACAAGTATCGTCATTCCGAACTAAGAGATGCGTACAGAGTTTAGCAAATCGAGCACACTCGTGTTATGTACACAGTTTTTGTAAACAGGGCTCGAGTTCTGTTATTGTTTATATTTAGAATTCACCGGGTGCGTTCAATCGTCACAGTCTGCTTACCACAACTGCACGGACTGACAATATATTGTGTGTTTGTTTTGCTTTCGAACGTGTCTACTCTGAATTTTCTGGATTATAGTATTAATATTTTTCATTTATACAAAACGAGATTGCCACTTTTCCTAAGGATTAAGAATAAAATTAAATTTGTGAGAATGCAAAGATATGTCAATCAAACCCGCCGAAAAATTTTGAAATTTCGATATCTTTTAAACGAAATAAGATTTTTAATTAATTTTTGTGTGAAATGCTATTAAAATATATAAGTCGTAATATTATAGAGAAAATAATAACCTCAAATCTGTGTCCAAGTACCTTTAAAATTTTCCTATTATCATGCATGAAATGTTGAATTCCTTTTGAAGCTGAAGAAACTAAGCTTTTCAACAACCTTATTGAGAGGATGCTTGCAATTAAATTTAACAGATATTGAACATCAACAGGTCACATGAGTGATTTACGTGACATACAGTAGATATCCAAATATTTCAAGTTAACCATAATCATGTTATGCACACTCTACAAGGATGCCTCTGCAAAGGTAAAGACAATTAAAAAAAAATTATTTGTTTACTTTTCAAGATTTTATTACAAAAATTAAACAGGCCTCCGATAAAACAATTTTTTTCTGTTTTATTAATCACAGCCAGGAGAAAACTGGGAGCATTCAAAATCATATAGACAAAACCTACACAAAGCTCTATCTGTAACTACTGTTTTGAAGAATTTGCTGGCATAGCCACATTTTAGAAAGCTCTAGCTTAGATATTCTGGGTTACACATCAAAGAAAGCTGTTTATTTTCTCCATAAAAATAGTTATGTTTCTTTAAATAAACAACTTCACTTAGAAACTTTAACCTACCCGGTAGTTCCAAAAATTATCCGGTATCAATCAAAAATATTTGCATCAAATCTGAAAATTTGTGGCTTCAAGAATGACATTTTGTCACTTTGAATCTAGGTTAGCCACTTTGATCCTGAATGCAGCCCTGAAGTCATGGGTATGGTCATATATAATGCAAGTTGCATTTTCTCCTTAAATAACAGTTTCACCAAATCATTGAGCAAGATACTTGTATGTATATAAAAGAAAAATTCTTTTACTAAAATATTCTGGCTAACTGTAGAACTTTGGCATATCACAATATGCACTAAAAACTAGCCCAGAGTGAAACAATTAACTTCCCTTGTGAAGAATACAGGACAAGGGAAAATCTTTAATAATATGATTCAAATAACAGAAAACTCAAAATGCAAAGTCGTGGAGAAAAATAAAACAAAATGTGGATTTCTTTTCCATAGTCATAGATGACATTAAATTCAGTCACCATAATTAAAACATCCAAAAGTGTCCATGATTTGCACAACTGACTAGATGCATACAAGATTGAAACAACTGGACATTGGCACAAAATTTCTTTATATTACATTAGAAGCAAATCAGGTAAAAAAAAATAGCTGTTGATAAAATCCGTTCATCCCTTTGACTGTTCCAGGTCCATGCAGAAATAAGGTAAAATGACATCACCAATGACATCATCAATGACTTCATCAAAGAGAGATTAGGAATCAATACTGGAATGACACACACACTTGTCTAACACTCGTTCATTATGACTGTTAATGTTCTTTGGTAAATGCACTAAAGACTTCATTAAGCTGCTGCGTCACTCGTATAAATGTTGTCCTACGACTGAGCTCCTTTAGTTTTCCGGCCCCCACGTAAGTACAAGTAGACCGTAGTCCTCCCAGAATGTCCTGTAGTGTGCCGTCTACATCACCTTTATATTCTATCTGTACCGTCTTACCCTCAGAGGCCCTGAATAGAAAACAAATCAGGTACATCATTGGTTTTTATAATAAGACTTCAAAAGACATCTTTTTTACATCTATAAAAACTTAGCTGTATGGCTGTGTGTCAAATGCACAAATTATTCATGTGCCCCAACCCCCTTTTCCTCACCAACGTTAAATATCAATATAAATCACAGGAAGTGTATAAGGTAATGTGCCTTTACAAGTACTGGAAATTGATGAATATTAAAGAATATTTCACCTGTACTCTGCCACACCTCCTGCATGTTTCTTCATGGCAGTAGCTGAACTCATCCCATAAAATAATTTGAATTTCTTGCCGTTTTCCTCAATCATTTCCCCTCCTGACTCTGTGTGACCAGCAAACATGCCTCCCAGCATCACAAAGTCAGCACCAGCACCAAAAGCTTTAGCTACATCACCGGGACAAGTACAGCCACCATCCTTCAAACAGTCAACAAAAAAATTACAAACAGCACATGATCAAAAGTGTACGTTTTCTCTTTAAGATTTTTCTTACAAACTGTACATTTCTGTTTAAAATTGTTACAATTTCCTTGGATAATAGGTGTATAATAAAACATTTACTGAAATTGAACCAAAAATCTTCCATTAATTATAGTTCAGAAAGTGTATGACCAAAGGTCTTCTTAAATTAAACATCTTTTTCCATATTTTTTGTGTTATTTATACATCTTATTTCAGAAAATACGTACAGAAATAATGTGGCCTCCCAGCCCGTGGGCGGCATCAGCACACTCAAGTACAGCACTCAGCTGGGGGTATCCTACTCCCGTCTTCTTACGCGTGGTACAGACACTGCCGGGACCGATCCCCACCTTAATGATGTCAGCACCAGACAATATCAGCTCCTCCACCATCTCACCTGTTACCACATTTCCAGCCTGTAAGAAAAGAAACTGCATCAGTGTGTCATAATTTTTATACATCTTGTTCCTGGTAATCTCTCACATAATATGTACAATAGTGAATATATCAAACAGGAAACTGTTGATGTATTGAAAGCAATTTACTGGTAAAGGAAAGTAACTCATTCAGCTAAACTGACATTTAACTAAACTGGTTTAAGAGTTAAAACTATAATGAACCTCACCATTATCGTATGTTTGGGGAATGTTTTTCTCACATCTCGCACAAATTGGACGAAATGTTCAGAATAGCCATTAGCGACGTCCACACAGATGTATTTGAGTTCTGGGATGGCCTGACTTATCGCGATCAGCTTCTTCAAGTCTCCCTCCCCCGTACCTGTGCTGGCGGCTACATTCTGTAAACAAACACAATAAACAACTGTTAAATAGTCATGGAAATTCTACTACACTATAGATTTCCTGAATATTAGAAATAGCTGTGAATTATTGATTGGTAATGGAGATACACGAACAATTCATAATTTTTTTTTTCTCTGTTACTGTAATAAAGAAATCAAAGACATAAACTGTGACTAAAAGTAAGAGCATTATAAGCAGTGTCCTTACAACTCACTCTTTAGCATATTGTCCCACAATATTCAAAGCTCGATTCTCCTTTAATATTCCTCAGTCTTCACGAAAACTCACTAGCCCGACGCCCGAGGCTAGTAAAAAATGGTCTGGGCTAGTAAAAATTGTTTCAGAAGTAGCCCGACTGGCTAGTGAAAAGTAAGCAGGTACTTTCCGAGTTTTTGCTTTTTAAATCTTAACCAATACATAAAATTAAAGCACTGTAGTCCTATAGATAGTTTTCGATAGGCCTGAATTTAGCGAAAGTTACCTCCCGTTGGCCGCCATATTGGAGGTCGACTAAGTGATTTTCCCTCTTTGTCTTACGAAGTTTAAGAAAATATAGCAGAAATATTTGGTGGAAAATCTTTATCAAATAATTTTTTATAAATAAAGGAGGCTTACAAAAATTTATATACTTCAGAAAAATAATGATTTCTAATTCAAAATAGCAAATACAAAAATTTTAAATTGGTTGAACAATGAAGGAATATGAGCATTTGGACCTCCAGTATGGCGGCCAACGGGAAGTAACTCTTGGTCAATCGAAAACTATCTATTCTTCAGAAAACTCCCTCATCTAATTCACATAGCACTATTTATAGTTAATTTTTCCATAAAAACGATCGTCTTTTTTCTCTAATCCGAATTTCCTCTGTTCAATCGTTTCTGGTAAATACATGCAGAAATCCCATTTAATTAATTCTGATTACTCATTTAATTGAAGAGTAAAGGATTACATGAGATAACTATGTTAACTGTTGTCCAAATTTATATTAACAATGTATCTGAAAATTTAATATGAAAAAAAAATCACTTCTTTGGAATGGAAGTCTAATGACCAGAACAGGGGCTAATGTACAATACATGTACATTATAAAAAGCCAAAAAAAATGTGTTTGTTCAAATTAATTTTAATCTTTATTAATGATAAATGATTTATTTATGATTCATATATGAGGAGAAAAAAACAAAATAATTAAGCAGATGAAACACAAAAGGAAAGGAATTCAGTATGAAATTTAAATGGAATAGAGTGATACAGCAGTAAATTCTGCAATTTCATTTCTTTTTTTTCCTTTCGTTGGCTATTAAAAATTTCTTTGGGCTAGTAATACTGTCAAATCCACTAGCCCTACTGGCTAGTATCTTAGAAAAGTTTTCGTGAAGACTGTTCCTATATTTATTATTTATCAAAGGAATGGGATATTTTGATAAAAAATGACTTCCTGTACCTCCATGATGCCCTTGTTTTCTGCAGCGAATTCCTTCCATGCTTCTACAGAATAATGCTTGTGTATACAAACAAAACACTTGCTCTGAAAAGAAAATCAACAACCATATGCAGTATTTCTTTAAAAATCTGGCTGACTATAAAATTTTTTATAGATCCAATGCATTATTATTAATTAAAATCTAGTATCCACTCTTTGGCTATAAAACCAACTTGATCAAAAAAGTAGTACAAACTTTGGCGAAGCTTTTGGCCATTTCAAACGTTCCCACTGTGTCCATATTGGCGGCCATGACAGGGATTCCATCGTAAGTCTGTCCTGAGTTTCTGAAGGTAAAGGATCTACACAGGTCCACCTACATATATATAATTATTACTGATTTAAGAAATGAATGTAATATTTTTTTCTTTGATCGATGTATCAAAGAAAAAATTTGGACGGAAAACTTCATCAATGCGCGTAGCGCATTGATGAAAAAGTTTTCCGTCCAAATTTTTTCTTTGATACATCGATCAAAGAAAAAAATATCACATTCATTTCTTATCATTTAATTATGATTTTAAATTAATAAAATGAAAGTTTCTTTCACTTTCTATTAAATTTAAGCATCCAAAACAGTGCGCACGAATACATCACCATAACGTTAACGTTGTTGAAAATTCAAAATGGCTCTAACCATGCTTACGAAAAAACGTTCTTAAATATTGTCGTGTGGTTACCAACATTCTCTGAAATAATTTACAGTTCTTTAACACAAAAATTTACCTGTTGTGTTATCCCTCTGGGTATATTTTTCCCGGTAAGTTATCTTAGTTCATAAATGTAAAGGGAAGCTACTCAAATATCCTAACAGTTCTAGGTCACAGATATTTTGGATTTCATTTGCGCATCTTTCCATCTGAATTTCAAACCGAATATATAAATAAGTATCACAGCCTGTCAATGGTGTAAAACCTGAAAGAGTCTGCTGCCGACTGTTCAAGATTAAAAGAATTCCGTCCTCATTCATGCAGTGTCGTTTTTCTCGATCATTCGTTTCCCACGATTTAAAAGATTTACGGTTTTCCCCGCTTTGGTAGCATAATAAAACATTTTTTCAGAGTACCAATATTTCATACCAGATATCTCAAAGTCAAACATTTAAGAAAAATATGCCGATTAAACGATTTCTTCCCTTCTTTCCCATATTAAACTGCATTGTCGTCATGCAGACGATTTGATTTGTTTAGCAAAGGGGGATAACTCAAAATGAAACGAAAGTAGAAAATAAGTCAGGAAGGTAACGGTCAGGTTCCGAAATTCAGAAAAATATTTATTAAAGCAAAAGTATTTTATTTTTCCTTCAAAAAGTAATCTGGAAGCGGGAATATACATGTAAAGACTGTCAAAGTAGATCCGGCTGCTTAGTGCAAGCGAACTCTAGATTTTATTGATGCAGTTATCAAAAGAATTTTTTATCCAATCAGAATCAAGTATATTATAGAAATTAAATGATTAATAAATCTAGTCAATAGTACCTATATATAATTATTCATGATTGAATTACAAATCTAGACATAAGTACCAATATATAAAATTATTTTATTATTGAATAACAAATCTAGACAATAGTACACAGTTTATCTGCGCAATTCTTCTTAAGCATTTTTTTTACTTCAAAAATCAATAAATAAAATGCAAAAGAGTCCTTTACTATTTCTTTTTAATTCTCATCTAGACACCTTGTTCCTCATTAAAACTATCCTATTTACCTCTATACATGTACATTTATTGTAAATTTATTCATAGAAGTTTCATCTCTTATTATGTCTTTAGGCTGAGAAGATATGCAATTGATGAGATAGTAAGCAGAAAATTTTGGTTTCTGCAGATCAGTTCAGGATCTTTATAAATGTATGCCACAACAGTAGATCCCATCTGAAAAATGACTTTCTGACACTTCAAATACCTTCTTCAGCAATTTTAGCGAAGCTGAAAATCAATACACAGTTTAGACAACTAACATGTGTTACTGCAGCAGAAAAATAATCATGCATGCAATTAAATTATTCACAAAATCGACCAACAAACCAATCTGGTGTATTAATGTTGCCTGATGAAAACAAGTGCAATATCCATATCTTACTGTAACTACTGGTAACTACTGATTTTTTATTGTGGGAAAGATCTATTTGGTTGGTCAAACAGTAAGACTAAATAAACCAAACATGTTTCCACTCGAATAAAAGTTCAGGGAAGGAATTTGCAAAAAAATTTTAAAAAATAAAAATTAACAAATCATGATGTTCATCCTCAGCCAGTATTTTTTGCAATGTTATTTTGAACCAATCTCATTAATATTTTATGCAATTCTCAATAATACTTAATGACACTTCTCCTAATTAATTAAAAGATGTTCATACCCTTCCTAATATCGTACATTACAATGTGTGCCTATACAGTTATACAGTACTGAAAAAAGTAAAATGCAAAGGTATAAACAAACGGGTCAAATGCTGTGCATCATTTTTTTTTTTCTTTTCATAGTTTTCAACCATTGAGCATTTCAAAAATGCTTATATTTTAAATTATTTTAAATATGTATGGACAAATCAAGATAAGAATATTCTGGTTCTAGGAGGCTGCAAACAAAAGTTCATGGACAGATGAAGGGATGATCACACATCACATCAGCCTCTTACCACAGCCCCTCCCGATCCAGCTGTTGTGGCATACATCACTAAACTCTGCTTGGGGTTCTACAGAGCATAGGCAAACCAATCAATTTACACAGGTCACAAGTCCAGTACAATCTCTTGATTTAGCTATACAGCTTTAAATAGCTATACAACTTTATTAAGCTATTTAGAATAGCTAATTTAACTATTTTACAACATTTTTTTCTTAAAGGTGTAATTTTCTCAGTATGTACAAAAAAGCGCACCTTGGTGCAGTGATGATATACAACCTTGAACTCTTCTTGAAATAAAGCATGTAAAAATCACTCATCAAATTACGTCTCCTTGAAAGACTTTGTACTTAAAGTTCTACAAGTTTTGCGGCTATATAAAGCAACTGTTACAGCTACTTCTGCAATGATATAATAAAGGAGACCAATTATGGTCAACAAGATGATTGGTAACAGTTCAGCACAATGAGAAGCAATCATACTTATTCATGCCTTAACGCACTCACTGCCACTCAGGGTAGTGGACAGTTACTTTAACAATAGAAATTCTCTTTTTGCTTAAAAGTATTCAAAAGCTGTAATGTTAAAACTATCTTTTATTTTGGTTGTTGTTTTGATAGCCCATAGTTAATACACAAAGAGTCAAATACGTGCGACTTTTTTGTTTATTTCTAGCAAAAGACATTTTTGTGAAAAACTGTATATAAATAGCTAAATAAATCTATTTTGAATAGCTTAATAAAACTATATAGCGATATTTAATAAAAGCTATATAGCTAAATCAAGAGATTGTACTGGACCTGTTAGATTTGATGACATTCAAACCTTTACTTTGTTTTAATCCACACTTACCAGGAAATATTGTGATTACTTTAATATCCCAACCCTATCAAAGTTATTTGTTGTTAGATTTACATCATTTTTGTGAAATTCAATTACAAAAATAAAAATGTAAGATGTTTTTAATGCATTTATTTTCTTATATTTTGGACTTCAGCAATCTACGTCCAACAGAAATGGCCACTTGTACATGTTTGGCTTAAGCCTGGGTCAAGGCAATACATAGTTAGATTCAAAAATTATCAAATAAATTGCAGACCTCTCTGATTTATCTGAGTAGAGCTCAGCATTGTGGTTTAATGTAAACCAGGTAAAGGGCAGGTTTAAAGGAAGGCTTATAAGTAATGGAGTATTATTTCAATGAAATCAACCAAATTTATGTAGTGGAAAGACTTATCAGGCAAGAAAGAATGGTAAGAGACAGGACAAACCCTTTTTTGAATTATTAGGAGGAAGAATTTATTGACAGATTTCGCTTAAGAAAGGAATGTGTAATTGAATTATTAAATGAAATTGGGGAACACCTGGAGCCAAAACAAAAGAAGGTTTCATCAATATCACCACTTGACCAACTACTAATAGCTTTACGGTTTTATGCAACTGGCTGTTTCCTCAGAGTTTCTGGAGATCTCTTTGGAGTTCATGAAAGTTCAGCTTCTCGAATTGTGAAGAGAGTTTCATCTGCATTGGCATCGCTTTACAAGAATTATGTAGTATTTCCTTCAGGAAATAAATTAACTGAAATCCAAAGAGGTTTTATGAACCATAGTGGTATTCCCGGAATTGTGGGTGCAATTGACTGTACCCATATCCCAATACAATCACCTGGAGGTGACATGGCAGAAATTTTTCGAAACAGGAAAGGATTTTTCTCCATCAATGTACAGGCCATTTGTGACAATGATCTTATGCTTACAAATGTGGTTGCAAGATGGCCGGGGAGTACTCATGACAGTCGGATTTTTGAGAACAGTAGTGTCTGCGCTAATTTTGAAAGAAGAAATATTCCTGGGATTTTGATTGGAGATAATGGATACGCTCTCAAACCTTACTTAATAACACCCCTTCTTACTTGTCGGACACCACAAGAGAGACGTTTTAATTTTGCTTTAAGTAACAGTAGAGTTAAGATTGAAAATGTGTTTGGCATTTGGAAAAGACGTTTTCCTTGCCTTCGAAATCATTTGAGGTTTAAGATTTCTACAACTTTGCACGTAATTATTGCTTGCGCAATTTTGTACAACATTGCCAAGAAAGCTGCCATACCGGTACCGGATGATGAGGATGAAGGAGACACAGCAGTTCCAGTTCCGGTGCCACCAAATGCTAACCAAGGGGGACAGGCTTTAAGAGCAGTTTTAATAAGGCATTTTTAGTAAAAAACAAACAAACAAGTAAGTTTAATTATAATAAATTTGATTTTTCAATTCTTAAATGTTTAATGTAGGTTATATATACTATTCACTGAGCATATGGTTGCCAGAAAGATCCACAGTTGTTGTTAGAATCTGTACTTCCATAAGTAGTGGTTGGAGCTACAGGCAACTTAGGTTCACTGGATTTTATTTCATTCTCTAGTTTCTGTTTCTTTAACTTTAGTATGTCCTCTTTCAACTGGAGGATTGCCATTTTTTTCTGATGTTCTATTTCTGCTAATTCCAGGAGTCTATTTTTGACTTGGTCTTGACGTCCGGGAGCAGCTTTTCGTTTAGAACCAGGAACTCTGGACGCTGGTTGTTGCGGTTTGACGGATTCTTGCGACATCGGCGCATCCTCTTGAACTGTGTTCGTTGTCAATATCTGTGAACAGTGAAACATTTATTGTAAATATTACGATTAAATAAAATATATCATTAATGTAATGTTTTTTTTGTTAGAACATGTATTGAAAAAATCCCAATTTTAATAGCTTAATATTTATGTAGATTTATTGAAAATGATGGGTGCGCCAAATCTTTTTCATGTTTTCGTAATTTGAAATCAATGGTGGGATCGCAGAATTATATATATATATAGGTTGAAAAATAAAAAATCTACAGCTCATACATATTACATGTATATGAAAAGATATTTCCATTAAAATTCTTTTAATCAAATAATGTTGACAAAATACTAGTATACCTCGTCATTATCATCTGAATCTTCATTGTCATTTTCTGGTTCATCTCCATGGAGACTTGCATCATCGTCATATGGGTTTTGCAAACTATTAATTTGCTGAGGAAGCATTTCGGATATGGTGCTGGAAATTTTATCTAAGCTCTTCCCAGATGGTCCTCCACCTGTTTTTTCTTGTCTCTCCTCTCCTTAGTTACGGCAGACTTCGTTCTGGCTTTTAGATTTTTCCATAATGATTTCAACTGTGTTATGGTTCTCTTGTTTACACCATGTCTAGAATTAAATTCTTTCTCAATATTTATCCATTCTGTGTTCTTCTTACTAACCATTCTGCCGTCATTCTGCTTATTTTCTATGATGTCCTTCCTAGCATGGATAAGCTCTAACAAAATTTCTTTTTCTAACTCAGAAAAATTTGCTGACTTCTGTCTTGTTGCCATTATTTTCAAGGAATGAGATAATCTTAAGCCGTATTCAGGTAAGAAAGAGTTGAGTCACAGGTTTGCAACCCAACTACTTCTCACCTGAGTACAGCTCAAGCCAGGTTTAAGGCAGGGTTATCTGATCCCTAGATCACCTATTAAATCAGGGTTACCTGAGCTAAAGTTATGATGGGCCATAAAAGCACTAGGCTAAGCCTAGATTATCTCAAGTACTACTACATTTATACATAATGACTAAGTATCTCACGGATTTAGACGCTTGATATTAAAAACAAGTCCCACGGGGAAGATAAGTACCACATGAGTCCTACATGAGTCCACGGCAAATGGGCATATCAATGTTCCTATGAAAACCTGCTATATTATGAAAGATAATGATATTATATTACCATCTAGCAAAAAAAAATCAAAAAAAAGAGAGAAAAAAATACTTTGATACGATAAATAGACGAATTTAAACGTTAACCACGCTCAAGAACGATAACTCCAACTAAATCGCTTGTTCTCGGCAAAGGTCTACAATTAATCGTCTATATAAACATGATAAAACATTTTAAAAAGATAGGGATTATGAAAAGAATAATATTAATAGTGTTATTTTAGTTCTTAAAGATAGAAAATTACAGTTCACTATAACTATGATATTAAATAGTAC